GGGCAGGGCCTCACCTCTGCAGGAACTTGGAGAACTGGCGGCGGTAGGCGAAGCCGGCCCTGCGCACGCGGATGTTCTCCCGCAGGCCCAGGTACTCCACCTGGTGCTTGACCCTGGGCGAGCGCAGAGCAGGGGCTGCGGTCTGGGCGGAGCGTCTGAGCCCACGGCCCGTGCTCAGCCCCGAATGGGGGTCTGCGGAGAGGGTGGGCTGCTGTGCTAGCCCGTGGGCCACCCTGCACTTGGGAGGCGGCTCTGCCCATTCTAACGGCACCCCCGCTTCCGCGTGGGTCTTAGGGGCTGGATTTGGGGATGGCGCCCAGGGCAGGTGGCACAGGGTGGGCGCGGGCAGCAATGGGTGGGCGTTACCTGCTCTCCTCCCAGTCCCGGGGCCTCTTGGTCTCGTTGGGCTTGATGCAGCGGATGTAGTGGGGCGTGCACCTCTTCAGCGTGGCCACTAGGTCGTTGGCTTGTTTCTGGGTCACAGCAGAAGGCAGGGTGAGGGGTACGCAGACGACTCTCCACTCTGCCCCTCTGTGCCTCTGTGCCCAAGACTATTTTTTTTTTCTGGTTCTGGGGGTTGAACTCAGGGCCTTTGCAGTGAGCTACATCCCCAGCCCTCTTTTGAGACAGGGTTTCACTACGTTGCCCAGGCTGGGCTTGAACTGGCAATCCTCCTGCCTCAGCCTCCCAGAGGGCTGGGATTATAGGTGTGCACCACCATGCCTGGCTTGAGTGGTGCATTTCAGTCACCCCAGGGAAAAGGGGTACAGTCTGGTAATCATTCCAGATGGGGGGCTTAAGGGGAGTGGCACGAGAGACCCAGGCTCTGCTGTGTGACCAAGGTAAGTGACTTGCTCCTCTCCGAGCCTGGGTTTTCTTCACCTCCCTATGGGGCCCCCAGTGAGGTCCTTGTGTGTGTAAAGTGCTCCCGACCTCCATCAGCAAGGAGCAAGTGTTCAGTGAGTGATTGCTAGCTTTTAGTTCTAGCATTTGGGAAGCTGAGGCAGGAGAATCACCATGAATTTGATGCCAGCCTGGACCAGGAACGGGACCCTGACTCGAAAACAAATCAAACAGTCAGTGAGCAGCATGTAGCTAGGGTGGGAGCCCATATTCACAGCGAATTAATCGCAGTAGTGAGAAGGTAGAGGCAAATTAAAAGTCCAGCAGATGGACACACAGACAATAACGTGGTCCTTCCTTACAGGGGATTCTTATTTAGCTAAAGAAGGAAGGAGATTCTAACACATGCTGCAGCATGGATGGAACTTGAGGACAGGATGAAAACAGCAGACACAAGATGACAAATTCTGCACAATTCCATGCCTAGAAAGTTCCCAAGGCCCTGAGGTCCACAGAGACCGGAAGTCGACGGCGGGTGTGCAGGGCTGGGGAGGGGCGGGGACTCATGTTTCTTGGGGACCTAGGTCCACACTGGGAAGATGAGGCTGGTGTGGACGGCCGCACAAGCAGGTGAATGTGCTCGATGCCCTTGAACTGGAAGATGGGAGAATGGGCAACTGCATGGCCCGTAAGTCTTACTGAATTAGAAGGAAAAGTGGGTTGGGGCGGGGCTCTCGCGCAAGGGCCCTGTGGTTTCCACCCTAGCACCCAAAACAAGCACAGGCAGGGCAGGGGACCCGGCTTTCTCCCTGTGCCCAGGCCCACCTTGATCTTGGAGCCGGCGGTGCTGGGGCGGCCTTTTTTGTCCATGTCCAGCTTCTCGGGAAAAAGCATCCGGAGGAAGGCCCTGGGCAGGGGACGGGGGTCAGGGAGCAGCCAGACCCCGGAGCAGCCTGGCCCAGAGGTGGGGCTGCCCAGAGACGGGGCCACAGCGTGAAACACAGATCTGAGTGTGGACCGGAGCCACGGTGGGGAGACGGGGGTGTGGAGGCTGTCCTGGTTCCTAGACTTAAGCCACACTTTTTAGCCTTCATGATTATTGTTCTAGATGTCCCCCTAGGCCTCGAGAGATCTGAGGCTGGACCTCGGAAGGTGACACCAGGGACGCGAGAGCTGATTGCTGTTGCGAGGTGGGGCCTGGTCAGAAGAGGCGACTGCTGAGAGAATGGCCCGGAGGGGTTCATGTCCCTTCCCGGCCCTTCCTTGACGCTCTGTTTCCTGATCACCATGAGGTGGGCAGCTTTGCCTCCGCCAGGCCCCTCAGCCATGCTGCCCTGACTTGGAGCCAGCGGACTACAGATGGAAACCTCCCCAACTGTGAGCCAGAACAAACCTCTCCTCCTTTAAGTAGCAGGTGATATTTACACATGACGAGTACTACTTTGCCACGAAGAAGGAGAAACGAGTTATTTGTAGGAAAATGGATGCACCTTGAGACCATACTGTGACGTGCGTGAGACACACAAGCTTAAATATAGCATGGTTTCTCTTACACGAGAAACCCAGCAGACAAATAAATAACAAAATAAAAGACAGATGACAGGAAGTAGGGAGACAGATCCTTCTCAGATGGGAAGGGGGTCAAGAGATGGAGGAGGAGATGGTGGAGTGGATGAAAAAAGAATTAAGATGGGTTATGTGCATGTACCAGCTCCACAAAGAGAATGTTCTGCAAACATGGACTAATAAAAAACAAAACAAAACAGAAAAGACAATTGTGTATGATTGGGTAGCAGGTAAAACATAGTGAGCTCCAGGTCAGTCTCAACTACATAGTGAGACCCTGTCTCAAAAAACCAAAAAGAAAAAAAAAAGGGGGTGGTATGGGGATTTAGCTCAGCGGTTCGGTGGCCTGCCTTGCAAGTACAAGGACTCGAGTTCAATCCCCGGTACCAAACAAACAAACAAACAAACAAAAAAAAAAATGAAAAAGCTGGGTGTGGTTGTGCAAGTCATGGTACATATCCCAGTATTCAGGAGGCTGAGGCAGGAGGATTGCTTGAGTCTGAGGCCAGCCTGGGCTACATAGTGAGTCCAAGCCCAGTCTAAACTACACAGTAAGACCCTGTCTCAAAAAACCAACCAACGAATGAGCCAACCAACCCATAAACTAACCAAATAAATAATTAAGATCTGTGTTATGTGTTTTACCACAATTAGAATAAGGGATGAATGTTTTTCCCTCTCTCGATCCTTTTGCCTACTTCGGTTTTCATCATAGCTCTCCACAGTGGTTCTCAGACTTCAGCAGGCATCAGAAGTCTCCAGGGAAATTTGTGAAGACACACAAGGTCAGACCCCACTGCATGAATTTCTCATCCACAGGTCTGAATTGTGGCCTAGTAATTTCCAGCAAGTTTCCGGGCCATGGGGATGGTGCTGGCTTGGGGATCCACATGGAAAACTATAGCTCTCGTTCTGTGCTTTTCCAATATGGCGGCCGCTGGGTTTCCAATATGGCTGCCATTGGTCACATGTGACTAGTTAGGGCCTTGAAATGTGGCCTATCCGTAATGGAGGGGTGCCTGTGAGATATGTACAGTGACATGCAATAATCCCAGCACTCTGGGAAGCTGAGGCAGAAGGGTCTAAAGTTCAAGCCCAGCCTAGGCAACTAAGTGACTTAGCAAGACAAAACCACTGTGACAGTTCGGACAAGATACTCTGGACAGGACACCAGCTGATGTCAACTCCTGCCTCCGGTTTCCAAGACCAATAAACAGAATGTACGCATCTCCCTTTTGGCCTTGCAAATTTGAAAATTTTCCCTTTGGGCTGAGGACCCGTGCAGGAGGCCCTGTAGTCCACTCCGAGCACCACAGTCAGTCAGTCAGTCAACCAACCAACCAACCAGCCAATCTCTCAATTGTCCCCTAGTCTCCACTCTGGCGCGATTGTTCCTAATGCAATATACCTCTCTTCCCAAACTGATGTCCCCACCATGAGAGACTTGTCATTCCATTGACGCTGGCACTATATTCCATGCGTCCCTGCTCTCTATGTCAAGTTCAGCCTCCACTGCCCAGTGGTACCACGAGAACAGCTGTGTCCTCCCACGTGGCCTGTCTCATCTGCTGCCCAGGACCGTGTCATATTTTTTGTTTTTGTTGTTTTGTTTTTTTGAGACAGGATCTCACTATGTAGTTGAGGCTGACCTGGAACTCACTGTGTAGCCCAGGCTGGTATTGAACTCACAGTGATCCTCCTGCCTCAGCCTCCCGAGTGCTGGGATTACAGGCGTGCACCACCATGCCCACCTTCCATGTAACATTTTGAGGTACAAAACAGATGGAACTGGGGTCCTGGAGGTGGTGGGGAGGGGGCGGGGCCCTGAGTGTTCAAACTGAGAAAGGTGAAGTCTGCCAGGGCCCCCTGGAGAAGGGTGACTGTCCCATGGGTGGGCGCTGGGGACCCCATCTCAGAGGTTTCTCCCTGTGGATCTGGAATTACTTTTTGTTTTGTTTTATTTTTGCTAGGGCTGTGGTGGGGGAGGTGGAAGCCAGGGCCCAGTGCATGCCGGGTAAGTTGCTGGCCCTGAGCCACACCCTCCAAGCACCCCCACAAGTCAGTTATGTATTTAGTTCATTAGTACGTTTGCCGTACATAATGGATACAATCGCCCCGGGGAGTTGGTACAAGTCCATACTGGAGCTTAATCTGTTTTATTTCTCTCACTCTCTTCCATCTTCCTCCATCCCTAGAGCCCCTTCTATCTGGAAAAGGTCTATTTGCCTGATTCCTATCATGTATCTTTTATTGTGCTCTGTAAACCATTTACACTTTGGGTTTCTCATCTAAGAGAAACTGTGATATTTAACTGTCTGCCTCTTATTTGTTTCACTTAGCATTGCAATCTCAAGTTGCATCCATTTCCCTACCAATGGCTCAAATTTACCCTTCTTCATGGCTGAGTAGTACTCCACTGTGTGTAAACGTCACAGTTTCTTTATCCATTCATGTGTTGGCAGACACGTAGGCTGTTTCGAAGAACTGTAGTTACTTTTATACCAGAACCACCCTGAGGAAGACAAAGTGGTCCCCTGTCTCCCTCCACCCCAAAGGGGTTCTGCCTGTCACACCCATGCCCGGGGCCACTCACTGCTCACTGGTCTGCATCAGCTCTATGAGATCAGAGAAGAGGACATCTCGGTTCCTCTCGCAGAAGCCACTGACGTCGTAGGAGACCTGGAGGGAGGGGTGCAGAACTGGGGTGAACGGATGGGTAATCCAGCGGTCCAACTTGGCCGACTTGGGGGTTCGGGACAGTGAGTTTGGGGTGCTGCCTGGGCCAGACCGGTGGGCTGGGGTCCCCCCCGGGGTCTGCTGCTTAATATGGAGGCGGATGTGAGACTGGATATCCATTGGGAGATTGCGGGCTGTGACCCCTGGGCTGTGGTCTGGCTCTGCCGCCCAAGGTGGGGAGACCCCTCCTGGCTGGGGACACAGGCGCTCAAGCCCGGGTTAGGCAGGGAACCCTGGGACTGTCCGCTTCTGCTGCCGAGCTGGAGGAGCCTCACGTGGGGGGGGGTGTCCTCCAGCCCCGTCCGCTGGGGAGAGGGCTGTGGCCAAGGTGGGGGCCAGGAGATTCCGGTAGCCCTGGAGTCGGAGCCCGTGAGGGTCTGGGTCACATGTGGTGGCGTGCAGCCCGGGGGTTTGCTTTCTAAGCTGCGGCGTTGGTCCGTACTGGGGCAGAGGGGAGG